CTGCTGAAAGGGGGGAGGTGGGGTGTTTGTGCAATTTTAATCCCCAAACTGAAACGTATAACTATTGCTTTTACCAGAAGCAAAGAGCCCCACAGATTTGCTGCCCTCTTACCTTTGCTGGATTCAGTAATTTTGCTCCCCTGATAATATCTTGGGTGATTATTTGTGCTCTCATGCATTTAAGCAGGAGGGAATAAGCATTGCAACACTTGTCTGATTGGGAAAAAGGTAGAGCTTCAAAAAGGAATGTGAATTTCGTTCTATCCAAATTTCAGCAAAGATTTAGCTAAAAGCCATTGATTGGTCCTGTTGCCTTTTCTGTATGCCTGTCCTGTTCCAGAGAGACAAGCAAGTATCTGTTAGAGATACTTATGGGATCACATCTCGGTATTTCTTATGTCAGCTGCCAAGATTCTGCCTCCTTTTATTTTCTCAGTCTCTCTGCCTAGTCTTCTCCATGTCGGGGATCAGATTGTGTGTAATGGCAGGTCTTTCCTGGTACATTATGACAACATCACCGGGGAGATATGCCATTGTGTTTCCAGTTCTGCTCGGTCTCCAAATTACTTCACACATGGAACAATTCTGCTTGATAGGTTTCAGAAAATTAATTTCAGACAATGGCTTTTCTTTTTTTTTAAATCGCACTGACTACAGAGATAACAACAGAGCTCTGAGGGAAACAGTATTTCTCTCCCACAGAACATTTCGCATTAAAAAAAATCCACCAGAATGTTTATATTGCTCAAAATATCAGCTTTAAAATATATATATCTTCTAAATCCAAACCAAAGTTAGATACATGTTTATGCAAAGACAACAAATTCTGTTTGGGAAGAATTACAGTGGATTTTTACTTATTATGAAATAACCAAAATGGATAGTAATGATAGTAGTGACGATAATGGTGGTATGGGAGTGATGTTGCCATGATGGTGCAGAAAATATGCGAGGGAAGGATTTTGATGGTTTTGATATCTTTTATTCGACCGACTGCACTTTGGGATAGACTGGTATGCCCTAACCTGACCTAAAGAAGAATGCCCTGCATGCAAAAGCTTGTCTAAGTCTGCCCCAACCATGTAGTTGGTTCAGTAAAAGACCTGATATGAAGTGAACTTCAGCCCATGCAAGTTGTGTGGTTTTCCTTTCAAGGGTGGTGCTGGGTGCGACACAATTTTAGCAGTTTGGTGTGAAAACACGATTCACAAGATAAGCTCAGAGTTTTCATATAGGAATCTATAAAACATTGTGACCTGTCGTGGTCTTCCTGAGTTCTTGGCAACAGAGGAATTGCTCTACTGCTTTTTCTGTAGTCAAAAACCAGTGAAAACTCAGAGCTGGAGGGTTGTTGGTTGCAGCCGTGTAAGTCTAAGGCAGGGGTGGGCCAAATGCGGCCCGCCACGCCATTCTATCCAGCCCGCGGGGCCCCTAAAAATTTTAGAAAATTAATATTTATCTGCCCCTGGCTGCCTGTCACGCGGCCCTCGGCTTGCCAAAACTCAGCGAGCAGCCCTCCACCCAAAATAATTGCCCGCCCCTGGTCTAAGGACATACGCAGGCTAGGTTCTTTGGGTAGACGTGATCTCTTTTATTAAACCAACTAAAATAGTTGGGGGAAAAGGCCTTTGCAAGCATTTAGGCACAAACGCCCTTTTCCAGGCAGTCTCCCTACGCCTGAAGAAGGGTGTTTGTGTCTGAAAGCTTGCAACGACCATTTTTTTCCAACTATTTGGTTGTTCTAATAACGTAACCGACACCTCGGGCAGGAGCAAGGCGGGGTTTACGAGAGATTAACTCAACGGGGATGGCTTATCGACTCCCAGCAGGCAGGAGTTAGGGGCGCGACGGTCTCCCGCGCCCCGGCTCCGGGCGTGCCACGTGCGGGGGGTGGGGACCAGCCCGGCCGTGACCTCTGACGTCATCGAGCCGCGCCGGCGGCAGGCGGGAGCTGGGACAATGGCGGCGCGGCGGCTGAGGAGAGGCCGGTGAGTGCGGCGGTGACGTGGCGCTCGGGGGTTGGCCCGCGCTGGGTGGGGGGAAGGGGCGTGCACCCCCCCCCCCAGCCGCGAGAACGGTACCCGGGTGGCGGGGCAGCGCATCGTGCGGGCAGGGAGTAGAGTGCAGAGCAACGGATGGGGTGGACGGGAGGGGCACTGCAGGGCTTACCTTGCATCACACCTGCCCGAGGAGCTGGCTCCCACTAGATGCCCCATCCCCCTCCCCCCCCAAAGTGGGGGACTTGGGGTCAGGTTTC